TAAACTATTCTCTACCTATTTATACCGATTTTCTTTCATTTAACTTCTAAAAACATCTAAAATATTCCATGAACATTCAAATATAAGAATCACTCCACTTTTTCTAACATGTTCTTAATCATATCCAATGCTTATAATCTCTCATTTACCTCTTTGACAAGTCAAATCTACCAGTAAACATCAATAAACACTAATATACTAACATATCATTTCAAAACCCATTTTCTAAAATCTCCAATATTTCCTCCATCTCATAGTTTTAATATCATTTAATCCTTCCTTAAGCTTCTATACCACTTAAGGTTGCAAAAAAACCCATAATCAAAAGGAAAAAGTGATTAATTGAAGTTTACCTTTAGAGCTATGGAGGAGGCTTAACCACGTGAAAAAGAAGAAAAAAGGAATTAACTTTTGGTATCTACTTTCCTCTTTTCCCCTAACTTTAATACCTTACTAATAATGAATTTTAAATTTATTTTCCTTTAAAGGACCAAAATGCCCTCTTAATCATCCATTGTTACAATTTAGTCTAGGCCACTAATCCAAATCATTCTCATCTTTTATCATTTAATCAAATAAATCCTCAAAATTTTAAATCCTTTCAATAAAGTCCCTAATTCGATATTTGGGGCATTACACTCTTGTTGTTCGGTAGTTTATAAGACGATAATAAGGTTTTGGTTGATCGCTTGGCGTATTTGTTTTTGGATATGATTTTGCCAGTCACTTTTGTAAAGGGTAAAAGCATAAAGAATATTGCTCAGGAGTTGGTGGCAGGATATGCGCGTAAATCTCTGTCGCCTAGATGCGCTTTGAAGGTAGATCTACATAAGGCTTTTGATAGCATATATTGGGAGTTCATCTAGACTGTCCTTGAAGCTGTGAAATTACCAGTGGTGTTCTGCGAGTGGATTAGAATTTGCTTTACTACGCCTCATTATTCAATTACGTTCAATGGAAACCTGAAGCTATGAGATTACTAGTGGTATTCTGAGAGTGGATCAGAATTTGCTTAACTACTCCTCATTATTCAATTACGTTCAATGGCAACCTTGTGGGTTATTTTAAGGGAGTGAGGGGGTACGTCAAGGAGATTTGTTTTCCTCGTACCTCTTTATTCTTGCAATGAATGTTTTGTCTAGCATGTTGGACATGGCTGCAGCGAGTGGGGTTTTTAAGTATCATCCAAAGTCTAAGAGAATAGGTTTGACGCATCTTTGTTTCGCAGATGACATTCTTATCTTTGTAAATAGGTCATTGACTTCATTGCGGGTGTTCATAGTGTTTTAAGTTCTTTCTATGATATTTCAGGGTTGAGATTAAATCTTTCAAAGTGTGGCTTTATTTGACTAGGGTCCATGAGGAGAAATTAGAGACAATGAGGAGCTACTCGAGGTTCAGGCTAGGTATCCCCCTATTTGATATTTAGGGGTGCCACTGGTTACAAGGAAGTTGTCCGAGCAGGATTGTTAAGCACTGAATTGGTAACATTAAAAACATTTGGATAGGTGGGCGGGGAAAAAGTTAAGCTTTGTTGGTAGATTGCAATTGGTCAAATCGGTTTTATTTGGTATGGTTAATTTTTGGTGCAGGCAACTCATTCTTCCAAAAGGTGTGGTGAAGAGGATTGATTAGCTTTGCCTTTGATTTTTCTGGAAAGGAAATGATGTTTCAGCTAGGGGGCAAAAATGGCTTGGCAGCAGGTATGTATGCCTAAGTCAGAGGGTAATCTAGGCCTTAAAAACATTAGGTACTGAAACAAAAGTTGTATTCTACGGTTGATGAGAAGCATCCTTGCTGATGAGGGATCGTTTTAGGTTGCGTAGGTAAAAGCTTACATGATTTAATTGGCCGACTTTTGGACCATAAATATTAAGGGACATGCTAGTTGGAGCGTCCGAAAGTTATTTTCGTTGAGTGAGGCTGGCCCATTGAGGGACTTGATGGCTAAAAGGCGGGTTACAATGAAGGAGATTTGGTGTGAGTATAGGGGCAAGGGCTTGAACTTCCCTGGCATAAGACCATTTTGTTTTCTTTACACGTACCTAAACATGTTGCAGTAGCATGGATGGCTATCCTTAACAGATTGACAACCAAAGATTGGTTGCTAAGGATAGGGTTGTCGATGGATGACAAATGTGTTCTCTATGATACGAGCATTAAGACAAGGTGCCACATATTTTTTGAGTGCAAGTTTTCTGATTGGATTTGGGAAGAAATACTTGGGTTGTGCAAGTGTAGGCATCTGCTCTCCTCGTGGGATGTCGAACTTTCTTGGGTGGTGAGTTCCCTTAAAGGTCGATCGCATCGGTCTACTATCCCAAAGATGTCTTAGAGTGCAACGATTTACTTTGTTTGGGAAGAACGTAATCGAAGGATTTTCAGGGGTTGATTAGGGCAGTCTTGATGTGTTCAATTTGGTGAAGGCCACTATTCAGTTCCAGATTTTTAACAGGAAGGTGAACAGAGTAGGATATGTGAATAACAATCTTTGTATAGCTTGGTAGCTTTTTGATCGAATATCATTGTTTTTTTATACTTTGGTTTTATTGTAACAACTTGCTACTTCTCTTTGGATATATAAATGTGATTTATCAAAAAAAAAATAGTTTTGGTCTGTTTTAGTATTTGAACTTTCAATTTTTCCAAAAGCATATCTAAAGTTTAGTTTTTATTTCATTTTAATACTTTTGTTCAAAATTTAACATTATTTTTTTAAATTGAAAGTTTATGTATTAAAATGGGCCAGAACTAATAGTTTAGACACTAAACGCGTTGAATTTTTAACGGTAGGTACTAAAATAAAAAAAAATTAAATGTTAGGCATAGTTTTGAAAAATTAAAAATTTAAGTACTAAAACGGACCAAAACTGATAATTTGTGTATTAAATGCGTAGATTACCCAAAATTTTTATCATTAACGATAACCACCAGTATGATAAAATGTAGAAATAGGGATGGTAAAAAAACCAGAACCCGACGAGTCCTGACCCGACCTATAGGGGTGGAGTTTTTTTGTTGAAATTTTAGGGTTTGGGATAGGCGAGGTGAGTTATATGATAAATAATTTTGAGATAGTCAGGGACGTCCAAAAAAACCGGTTTAAATTATTAATTTTCTTTATATTTATATAATATATTTAAGATTTTAAGGATTTTATTTTTATATTATTAAAATAAATTCTTTAATTATTAAAAATATAAAAATATATAATATATTATTTTAATAATTTAAAATATAATAATATATTATAAATATATTATTATATAATATATTATTTTAAAATATTAATATATTCGAGTCAAGTCGAAATGAGTGTTTTAATCTAAAAATCGGGATGAAGTCAAAGCAGAAGAAATATCAAAATTTATCCGGACAGAACATAATCAGATTTAAGTAATACAATTTTGGATCGGGATCAGGATAGCCAAAAACTCGGCCCGCCTCGCCCAGTGTTGATACTAGAAATGAAACTTTTAAAAAAAGTTACTTAACATTTATGGATAGAAGTCACGTCGGGTTTGTCTCGCGTTTATACTTTAGACCCGCAGGCAACCAGATTTGTATATAATTTAAAATATTAAGAATATAAATTTAGCAAATAGTTATTTAAACGAATAAAAATATATTTGATTGACCAAGTAAATAACTACTATGGGTGTTTATCGAGCGAGTCGATCGCGAGTTGAGTAGTGCTCGACTTGTGCTCATTAAAAAAATTTGCTGCTTGACTCCAATCATTGCTCGTTAAAAAATTTATTGCTCAACTCGACTCGTTGTTCGTTAAGATCACTAAAAATTTTATCTTATTTTTAAACTAAAAATAAATTATGCTAACACTATATGAGGATATTTAGGTTGGTTTTTTTTATTAAATAATATTATTAATTAATAATATTTTTTATTTATTAAAAATAATAGATTAGTTAACTTATTATTTTTTATTATTTATTAATAAATTAATAATTATTATTTAGATTTATTTTTTGAATGAAATAATTTGAAGTAATTACTAAAAATATATTTTAAAAAATTAACGAGCTGCTCTCGAACTTATCGAGTCGAGTCAGACTTTGCTCGACTCAACTCATTAAGGTCTCGAGTCGAGTTCGAGTTGAGAGTTCAACTACTCATGAATTGCTCAACTCGTTAAGTACCCCTAATAACTACTAACCAAGCAAATAGTTATTTAAAATATATTTGAATATATATATTGTCCGATTTCCCGTTTGATTCTCATTTAAAACAAGGGTAAAATATAGTAATTGACACTAAACTTTCTAAACTTTCATTTAGGTCCCCAACTTTTAAAACTTGCAATACAGTCCCCAACATTTAGTTTGTTTTCAATATGGTCCCCCAACAGTTACGTCGGGACCATATTGCAAACGAACTAAATGTTGGGGGACCATATTAAAAATAGACTAAATGTTAGGGGATTGTATTACAAGTCTTAAAAGTTAGAGGACCTAAATGAAAGCTTTAAAAAATTCAGTGACCGTTACTATACTTTACCCTTATATCAATTAGGATAGAATATAATGATAAGACTTTATATATACTCTTAAAGAGAGAATTTTAAACTTTAATGATAATACTATTAAGAATCATAACCACTAATCATAAAACTTATACAATAAAATATTAAATGGGAACTCATGTACTGGTTCAAACCAGTATTATAATGAACCATTGTCCCCACCAACATGTTATCATCTTTATCACTTGATGGAACATGTAGAGATTAATTAGTATATATATATATATATATATATATATGAAATGACCATCCAGTTCAGTTGGTAGAGTACAAGGTTTTTAATCTTGAGAATCGTAGGATCGAGTCCTATAGAGACATTTCATAATTCGGAGGTCTCCTACGGAAGTGTTGGGGACAGCTACTATCTTACCTCCCCTTACCCCATTACATATGGGAACAAGGGACAACCAAACCAAATATATATATATATGCGCGCGCGCAGGTACAACATCCAAAGCACAAGACAATTAGCAACACAAGAGAAGACAGTCAAAGATGTCTAAGGTTAGGAAGAGAGCTGTTCTGGTGGGATGCAACTACCCAAACACAAGGCTCAGGTTGCAAGGATGCATCAATGATGTGTCAAGCATGGAAGAGTTGATCGTGAACGAATTTGGCTTTAATCAAGACAATGTTAAGTACTTGGTTGATGAACCAGGCACGTCGCCTGAGGGTTTGCCTACTCGTGCAAACATTATGGCTGCACTCGAGGAGATGGTGGATGCTTCTGCATCAGGTTATATACTGTTTTTTCACTTCAGTAGACATGGAACAACCTTTTTATCCTTGAAACCTGGCGAATCCTACCAGGAAGAAGAAGCAATTGTTCCTTGTGATTTAAATCTCATCACCAGTAGGTTTCTTTCGTATGACGTGTTTCCTTTTGTTGTTTATATATCTGTATCTAATCATGGTTGTGCAGACATGGACTTGAGGCGCTTGATTCAAAAGCTACAACCAGGAACAAGCTTCACAATCCTATCAGATTCATGCCACAGTGGCGGACTGATTGACAAAGACAAAGAACAAATTGGACCTACTAGAATGAAGGGTATACCACTTCCAGTTTACTACAAGTCTAGGGGCATTTCTATTGGATCCATAATGGATTACCTGCATTCGGTTACGGATGCATCCAAACTGGAACAAATGTTGCGATAGGTGTTGCAAAGGCCGTAAGCACCGGGGCAAATATTGGCTCTGGTTTCTCAACAATCTTTAACAAAGAAGTGAGCATCACATTCCGACCGGAGCATGAGCAAAGGGCGGTGATGAAGTCGAGGTCACTGACGGAGGATGAGGGTCTTCTTTTGAGTGGATGCCAAGCCAATGAGACTCGGCAGATTTGGAGGGGAGCCCGCTTACCGAAGGAAAAGCTCATGGGGCGTTTACCTATGCAGTGGTGAAGCTACTGAATCAGAACAAAGGGTTACCCAACAAACAGCCATTATTTTGGGCCATGACATATACTATATAAAATAATACTATAGGTAGGTAGCTTGTGATAATAAAAAAATGCTTTAATAAATTTCAAGTCCAATTTTCTCAAGTTGCTATGTATATTAAATAAAGGGTAAAGTATAGTAATGGTCACTGAACTTTTAAAGCTTTCATTTAGGTCCTCCAACTTTTAAAACTTGCAATACAGTCCTCCAACATTTAGTCTGTTTTCAATATGATCCCCCAACATTTAGTCCGCTTGTAATATGGACCCCGACGTAACTGTTAGGGGACCATATTGCAAATGTACTAAATGTTGGGGACTGTATTGAAAATTTTAAAAGTTGGGGACCTAAATGAAAGCTTTAGAAAGTTCAGTGACCATTACTATACTTTACCCTTAAAACAATTCTGATCTAATGAAAACAGCATAACATTCAACGCAGACAACTACAACGAAGGATAAAAAGAAAAACTATGGAATATTTTACTTGACAAAACAAATTTAAATGAAATCAGCGAGATTAAACCTCGATAGCTACGTATTTGGAAAAGCTTCAAACGATCCAAAATTCTTAAAGATGAAGGGAAAAAAACATTGCTTTTACTAGCTGTGAAAGATATTTGTTTGTATGTTAATTGGATCCACTATAATGATGGGATGGTTGCTTTGTATATGAAAGGAGGATGTTGTTGATATAATCGGGAAAGCCTTCTTTAATTGTTTACAAACAAAATACGAGTTCCAAGGCAGAATAAGAAAGCTTTCTTATTCCATAATACTTCAAGTAGGAGTTTTGGAGAAATTGAAGGGGATACCCATTGTTAATAGCTTGGATCTTACCTGCTTCGCTGCTTCTGTATTCCTTTCCTCGGCTTGTATGTTCCTTCTCTCCAGACTTTCACTTGGCAGCACCATGGGATTGGGAGATAATCAGGCACCCACATATATTTATATGCTATATATATAAAGAAAAAAGAGAGCGGAAGAAGATGTATACCTGTTGTTCTTGTGGTTGATAATTCCTTTTTGTAGTTACTGATATATGCATACATACACAGGAATAAGCTTAGATAAGAAATTAGAAAAACTCTTTAAAGGTATGAGGAATAGGCTTGACATCATAGGGTTGGAGACAATATGTTATTCATTGTAACGAGCGTGTGCGTTGTTAATGGTTAATTGTTTTAATAGATAGTACTACATTTTAGTCGTCCTAGACTACTAATAAAATAAATAAATAATTACAATATTACATTTTTTATGGTTAAATATCACGATAATATGGATTTTTTTACTGTTATGTCAAGGATTTCTATAATGATAAGATTATTTTAGTATAATATTTTCTATAATATCTATACAAGAGCGAATCCTAATTAACATACATATAAGAACGTATATACAAGTAATTAGTAAATATGCAGACAAACTCAAAAGATAGCTTTAAAATTTTGATGACTAAAATGCAACCATTCTATATGTTTAGTGACTATTGCGTAGTTTACTTTTACTTTTTAAGAGCCAATATTTTCAATTTTAAAATTTAGAGGGATCTGAGAAGTATATTTACCATTTTCTTGATATTAAAAAATGGGTGAAACAAAGAAACGATTTCCTATATTTGCCCTTGCCGCACGGAACAAGGCAGTTTGTGTAGCTAGTTTAATCTCTGCAAATCGACACTTAACCCTCGCTTCTCTCAGAGCTCCAAAGTTTCCTACCCGTCTTAGACCATTAATCATGGCTTCAGGTCTCTTCTTTTCTCTCTGATTTGCTTATATTCTAATTTCTCTAATGTTTACCTATATATTGCTTGCGCTGTCAGAGCTTGATAAAATCGATTTTTTTTTTTTTGAAATTGAGCAGATGCGGATATGGAGGATTATGGATTTGAATACTCCGATGAGGAGCCCGAGGAACAAGACGTTGATATTGAGAATCAATATTACAATTCCAAAGGTTTTGTTTTACTTTTGTTTTTCTTTGTTAATCTGTATTATTCTCTAATCTTAATTTTGATATGGCTTGGACTATGCTTTCTTTAAGCTACACCAAAAACTTATAATATGTAGCTACACCTTTCCAATATGTTTGTGGAGTGCTGTTAGGGTTTACTCCTGTCTAAGTGGGAAACTATTTAGTTTTGATTTTTGTGTAGTGGCTGAATAATAATCTAAACTTGTTAGGCTCATTATGAGTTTATCCTAGTCTTATCTTTCGTAAAGTCCTCTTGATTAATCAATAATTAATGTATCATATGATAGTTGGTTCTTGAATATCAACTTCTGCACCATAGAGAAGCAGTGGAGGTGAGCTTGAGGGTTCAATTCTGTCCGGATAAATGCTTAAAAACCTTGTTTGTTGGTTGACAATCTTATTGGTTTCGTACTTGTTACTAATAGTTTGTTTTCTTTTGTCATAACAGGTTTGGTGGAAACAGACCCTGAAGGAGCTCTTGCTGGTTTTGCTGAAGTGGTTGCCATGGAACCCGAGAAGGCCGAGTGGTGTGTTATCCAGAAATTATATTTTGATCTTTTACCTTTTGGTATATTATGGTTATTATCTAGCCGTCCTATAATTTCTGTCAACTAATGTTTTTATTTTTATTTTTTGCTTTCTTGTGCCAAGTGTTTTTATGATTTAGCACATGATAGGCACATTATTAGGACATATTTTGTCTGTTGCCTCTTATGGATGGTCTCCTATCTCCAAGTCTAGCGAATAATTCCTTTATATAAATAGAGTTTTTGGCTTCTTGCAACCTCTACTGCTTGGGGTATTTGTTTTATCTATCCATTAAAAACAATTATCTCATTCACCAAAAAGTATGTATTGCGCCTGAGCCTTATTTGTCAATAAATAGTGTACTTGTACTTTCTATTCCAGGGGATTCAAAGCTCTAAAGCAAACTGTAAAGCTCTATTACCGGTTAGGGAAGTATAAAGAAATGATGGATGCTTACAGGGAGATGCTAACGTACATCAAATCAGCAGTGACACGAAATTACAGCGAGAAATGTATAAATAATATTATGGATTTTGTTTCTGGGTCAGCTAGTCAAAATTTTGGGCTCCTGCAGGAATTCTATCAAACCACTCTGAAGGCCCTTGAAGAGGCAAAGAACGAGGTTAGGAATTATCAAATGTACAATACAATGATCGCTTCATCATTTGCTTGAAGATGTGATATATTGCACTCTGTTTTGCAGAGACTTTGGTTTAAGACGAATCTTAAGCTTTGCAAGATCTGGTTCGATATGGGCGAGTATGGGCGAATGAGCAAGGTATGTTTTCGAACCTTAGAGTTTCAGTTTGATTTGTGCAGGGTACAGAATGTTAGAAAATAATCGGCTAATGTGTTGCACTATCAGATTTTGAAGGAACTTCATAAATCCTGTCAAAAGGAAGATGGGACAGATGATCAAAAGAAGGGAAGTCAGCTTCTTGAAGTATATGCAATTGAAATTCAAATGTATACTGAGACAAAGAACAACAAAAAGCTCAAGGTGGTTCAACTTCCTTTTTAAGACAAGATGTATACAGACATACAGTGGTCTATTGAACAATCTACAATTGGCCAAGCAGTTGTTACTATTCTTTGAGGGATTGAGGTCTAAGGTCTCACCCTCTAGATTTTCTCCATATATACCAAGAAAGTGAAAATTTCACATTATGCATCTTAAATCCAGATGGTAAGATAAAAAGCTATTTATTGTCGAAAAAGGAACGATTCTATAATTCTATTACACAATTCTGGTATGAATTACAAGTGGCTACAATCAGTTAAGTTAGATGCTTGGCAGTTTTGGACCGGAGAAGCAGTCATGTTTCCCTTGTAAACATCTACTGTTGGACGACAGTTGATATTTTTTTATCATTTATCTCCCGTACAAGTGATATACACGGTAGAATATGTACCCAATTTGCTGTTTACCTAATATAAAGTTTGTTTCCCTTGGAATTCGAGTGAAGCCATGTTAAACTAAGATACATCTGTAGAACCTTGGGCATTAAAGTCTACACCTGTGTATTGCTTTTGCTATCTTTAGAACTCTAGCAACTTTCGAACTTAGAGTATTTTCACTTGTAGTCTGAAATACTTGAATCCTGGTCCAGATATTGTTCACATTAGCATTACGCACTCAGTTAATACTGAAATCCAGAAGGTTTCACTGTTGTTTAACCTCAATTGCATGTGGAGTTCACTAACTTTCTTCGTTTTATATTATATGGTTGCTGAAATACCAGCATTGGTCCTTTCTGATAATTGTTTTACAAAGTTATGTGGTATATGTATGGGTCTTGTCTTATGTGGTGGTTTAGCTTTGTCTGAGATATTGGTTTAAATGCAGCAACTCTACCAGAAAGCACTTGCTGTTAAGTCTGCAATACCACATCCAAGGATCATGGGAATAATTCGTGAATGTGGTGGCAAGATGCATATGGCTGAGCGTCAATGGGCTGAGGCAGCCACAGACTTCTTTGAAGCTTTCAAGAACTATGATGAAGCTGGAAATCAGAGACGTATACAATGCCTAAAGTATGGTTATATTTTCTTTCTTTTTTCTTTGATGTAGTTTTTCACATTTTCGGTTTGATGCATTCTTCTATCTCTTTCATTGGTATTATAATATTCAACATGAGAGTTGGATCTCTTTATCTGCGATTCTTTATCAGCCTTCTGATTTAACCCTATTACAGCACTAGGGTGACTACCCATAAGAATTGTATAAAATGGAAAGCATTGATCTTAACATGTTTAAAGGGATACTGTGAGGCAAAATGTTATTTTATCAAAAATGGCATAAGTAATAAGTAATTGCCATAGTAGGACCATGAAAAGGTTGAGGGGAGATTGTAAGGAATGGTCAACATGCAGGAATATGGACAAAAAATAAAGAGAAAGTGAGGATAGGCTTGATAAGAACTGGGTAAAACTATACTAGACTACAAATATAAGGCAAGGTTGTAGCAGGAAGAGAGATATTTCAAATATATTATTATTATTCAATAAAGAAGCCCTTGTATACCTTCTATTAATACCTCTTGGTCCTGTCTTTCACGAAATAGATAAAGTTTCAAATATATTTTCTCATCTCGTGGTTTCGCTTCCAGATACCTTGTTCTGGCTAACATGCTGATGGAATCTGAAGTTAATCCTTTCGATGGTCAGGAGGCAAAGCCGTAAGTTCTTTTTAATATCGCTACATTCTAACTATAGCCTCTCTGTTTCTGTGTCTTTCTCTCTCTGCCCTCACTGCAATTACTGCAGGTACAAAAATGACCCTGAGATTTTGGCTATGACAAACCTTATAGCGGCCTATCAACGAAATGAGATAATAGAGTTTGAAAAAATCCTTAAGGTTTGTGCAATGCTTTCGAATGTTCTGATATATATTGCTGTTTACATCTGTTTGCTTTCCTCTTTGTTAAGTCAGGATCATCATCATCATCATGATCATCTGTTCACTTTAACAGAGTAACAGAAGGACAATCATGGATGATCCATTCATCCGAAATTATATTGAAGATCTCTTGAAGAATGTCAGAACTCAGGTGCTACTTAAGCTTATAAAACCATATACTAGAATCCGGATCCCTTTCATATCAAAGGTGAAAGATACATTTTTTCCTTTCTAATCAGTTACTTTTGGCGTTCCATTTTATGGTTCCATTAGTTTTACAGCTATATTTCTTGCTTGAACTCTGTTTTTCTTCTCCTTGTAATAAACTCCATATATGTTTTTTCTCTCTCAAAAATATATATCTGTTAAACTCCTGCATGAACTTTCAACATTCAGGAACTCAATGTGCCAGAAAAAGATGTAGAGCAGTTGTTGGTTTCCTTGATCTTGGATAATCGTATCGATGGGCATATTGATCAAGTGAACCGGTTGTTAGAGCGTGGTAACAGGTCAGCCTACTTATTATTCACTACCATACGAAGTTGAGTTAAAGTTTAACCAATATCAAAGTGATTCGACTCTTACTTGCATTTCCTTGCTGGTGCAGGTCGAAGGGTATGAAGAAGTACACAGCCATTGATAAATGGAACACGCAGCTCAGGTCCTTATCTCAAACCGTCACCAACAGGGTTTGTTGAGTATGCAAACATGCTATAGATGATATTGTCCCTTTTGGCTAAGGTACTCCTCTACCTTTCTGAAGCTACAAAAACATGCTTTGCTTTCTAATCATAGGTAATTTTAGACATCGAGATCCGTAAAATTATGTTTTGTTGTGGTTAGCCAAAGTTGTATTCTTGTTCTATGAAAAAAACACATATTTGCCTGTTTGCAATAATTTTGATTCCGAGTTTGAGACTGTCATGTGAAGTGATATTGTGTAGATCTGACATGGAAAATGATTGGAGCGTGGTATGAATATTTAATCGTACTAAAATTTATATAAGTATATATATATTTTTTTAAATTTATATAAGTATACTTAAAAAATATTTGTAAACAATGGCTACATGAATTACTATTTTTGTACTGTAGATTGTCATATTAGTAATGTAACGCTTAATGGTGATTTATGTCAATCAAATGTTACCATTGATGCTACTTATGATGTTCCAGGTTAAATTGATGCAGTTAAAAAGAAAAAAATAATTGTTAACTTGAGACGAATGAGTGTGTAAAAATATCCCTTAATAACATGAATAAGCTTATATAATTTTTGATCGTATTGAAAAACCTTTTGAGAGTGTAAAATTATCCCCTAATAACATGAATTACTATTTATTTTACCTTTTATTCAAATATTAATATCTATCTGATATATTTTTTATATTACTAAATATTCAAATTTATTAAATTACTTTTTAAAATATAAAATAATATTTAAGAGTAAAGTATATAAATAGTCTCTCAATTATAGGATGTTTTGTTGAGTCTCGATTATTAAAAGTTACGAAATATATTTTTGACTATAGGTTATTACTTTGTTAAGTATTTTGATTTATTAAAAATTATAAAATGATCATTGAATTATTCATATGTTTCAAACTTGTTTTTTTTTTGTTAAAATATTAATGACAGCCCAAGTTAGATATTAACATGTTGATTGTGATTTGATAAATTTGATCCTAATTTTTTTTAAATGATTATTATATTTTAGTCAACAAGTTAATGTTAAGTTTAAACTGTTATAAATTTGTAACTTTTAACGGTAAGGAATTCAATAATGAATGATCGTTTTGTAATTTTTTATAATTGAAAACTCAACAAAATAATATTATAAATAATTTATGGTAGAGATCGTCTCCAAAACAGTAATATACAATAGATTTACCTAATAATTAAATATGTAATAGATATTGACCATCACCAAATACTCTTCGAATTTGTTAAACATAACATTTGAAAATGTTAAATAATATTGGTTATCAAAATAAAGTATTTTTTTTAAAAATATGGTTTACATTTTGTTTTTCTTCCGAGAAAAACCGTATTCATTCAAATATAACGGTGGAGTTGTAGAAGCAAAGAATGAAGTCCAAACCTTAATAATGAAATAATAATATTATTTTTAAAATATTAGACTAATTTATTTAATATTATTAAAATATTATATCTATAATTTTATAAATAAATATTAAGATTATTATATTTTATTAAAATAAAAGTATTATAAATTATATTTATTATTTATTAAAATAATAATATTACTAAAATGTTAAAAAAATATATAATATTAAAATAAAAAATATTATATTATATTTAAAAATATATATTTTAAATATTCTATAATTCTATAATATTATTTCTATAAAATTGATAAATAATATTAATTTTATTAATAATTTATTATATATAATTAAAATAAACGCATAATATTATGTATTATTGCAATATAATTATAAAAATATAATACTGGTTTGGTTTGGTAGCTTTTACTACTGTTCGGATAAATAAATAATATTTATCCAAAATAATATTATAATATTATATTATTAAAAATATCAATAAATATAATTAAATATTTAATATTTTTATTAAAATTATACTAAATTAATACATTAATATTAAATATATAAAAGTAATAATGTTGTGAATATTTATGCGAAGAGTTCGTAAAATTGTTTACGAAAAATAAGACCCAAATGTTTAGATTAATAGCTTAAAAATCAGACCCAAATCTTAATTATTAAGATTGTTTGATTCATACGTTAGACCGTAGCTTAAAAATAAGGAATTAAGGATATTAATTATTTTTACTAACAACCAGTCGGTTTAGTGGGATGAGACACTAGGTCCCTTAAGCAATATCATGGGTTCGAATCATGGCGTTTGCGAATGAAGTAAACTGGGTTGGAAGGGTCGCCCTCGCTTCTGCAGTACCCGATTTAAATTAATCGATCAATAGATTGGATACTAGTGATTAATTAAAAAAATATTAGTTTTTAATAGGTTTGCCGAGAGAATTTCTTTTTGCTGGATTTGTCTATTAGTCAATTAAAAATGGCTGACGTGTATCAAAATTAAAATGAATAAATTGCGTGAATCACGTCAAACTTTTTATTATTATTTATTTTTGCTTATATTTGATATTATTAAATGAAAATTGTGGCATTATGTATGAAAGGTGAAGTTGGGCAAAGACAATAATAGAAATCAATCATAAAAGCAATAAAGAAAAGTGGTGTTGTCTGTCGCTCTGTCTGGAAATCTATAGTGTGGAAAATGGAAACTTCTTTTGTTCTTCTTTGTTCGAGGGTTCCTTTCTTTATGCACAAATGTAATCAGGGATCTTTTTACTATGTTTATTTATATATTCTAAATACTCTCAATCATTCCACTGCAGTTGTTGATGTTCAAACCCGTCATTCTATTGACGTAAATTGGTATAATGATTCTCTCAATTGAATTGAATGTCACATATTTGTCAACGTAGGCTTCCTTGACTGAAAATTCATCATACCGAATGTGTTTTTACATATAAATAATTTAATTATTGATTTATTAGATTAACAAGAAATGAAAACTAAATATGTAATTATATAAAATTTATCTTTCAAGTCAAGTCTTTCGTAAAATATTGACATGTAAGTTGTTTGACATTTATAGTTAAGTGGTTTGATTAATAAAATTAAAAGATCAGTGATCAAATTAAAATTTATATAATAAATGGTCACGAATGTAATTTACCCTAAGATTTAACGGCTGGACTAACTTTCAAGTTTTTGTAAATAAATGGTATAAGATAACCAAATAATTTTATTATTTCAAGTACATTATTTTTTATCACTATTTAATTATACTTGCAGTCGTGCAGTTGGCGATACATATAACAAATATGGTTCCATACTTCGTAGGGCCGTTATGGAATTTTGTTTAAATTTCGTGCCTTTACGTACATACAATATCAGAACTTTGACTGTTGATTGATGTTTTGGCCTCAGCTCAGCTCAGGCTCAAAAAAAAAAAAACTTAAAATTACTTTCTTTTTTCTTCTGGGAAAATCCATTTGTTTATTTCAATTTGCTTCTTGTTGGGTATTCTATACAAAGTTGGTAGGAAAAATCTGTTTTGTAATTTCTATATAAGGTGGGTTGTTTCATGATATTTTTGGCTGTTTTGATTGGCTGTAATATACCCTTTTCCCCCTCCTTTTTTCTGCATTTTACATTTGTTTTGATTTTTTTCACTGGAATTTACTTTCCATTTTGCCACCATTTTTAAAAGTTTTTTATTTCACTGTTACAGTCCTGAGCTTTCAAAAACCTTGTAGAAGAAAGTTGGGGTTACGTAGGAGAAATGAATCAACCTAAAATCAAGCGTCGTGTGGGTAAATACGAGGTGGGAAGAACTATTGGGGAAGGCACATTTGCGAAGGTGAAGTTTGCTAGAAATTCCGAGACTGGGGAACCAGTGGCACTTAAAATTCTTGATAAAGAGAAGGTTCTCAAGCACAAAATGGCTGAACAGGTCTTTTTTCCCTGTTTCAAATCCTTTCTTTTTTCTTTTTTGCTTTATGATCTGAGAATGATGCTCAAAACCTATGTTATTCGGATTAGGTGCGAGTTCGGTTTGATTTTTCATAGTTTTTCGTGTGTTTGAAGGATCATTGGATGTTTGAAATGAGTATAGGTTCCTTTACATGGTTTTCTGTGTGATTGTTTTGTAGATCAAGCGGGAAATAGCTACAATGAAGCTGATAAAGCATCCGAATGTTGTTCGTTTACATGAGGTTTCTCTGTATTGCGACTTATATGTACATTTGTGCACTGGATTGAGTAGTATGCATCCGGTCTACGATGCCGGCATCCGATTAGGATGTACGAGCTGCTTGAAAATCGGTTTTAATAACTGACAACGAGCTTCGGATAATTTCTCAATATCTTGTGCATTCTTTCTTGTTCAGGTAATGGGAAGCAAGACAAAGATATTCATTGTATTGGAGTTCGTTACCGGAGGAGAGCTGTTTGATAAAATTGTGAGTTGTTGAAGTCTTGGATTGATCTTGTTGTAATTTAGGAAGTTATGACTGCATACATGTAAGGTCTTCATTCGGGGACATGGATTGATCTCTTTAACCGTTTCTTAAATGAAGGTAAATCATGGTCGGATGATTGAAAATGAAGCCCGGAGATACTTTCAGCAACTCATCAATGCTGTTGATTATTGCCATAGCAGGGGTGTCTACCATAGGGACCTCAAGGTACCTTAAACTGCTACCCTTGAAGGATGAAATGTTCGTACATACATGTGTATACATGCAAGTTATGCTTTCGATCGGGAAATGGAGTTAAATTTATAATCTTAATCTTGCTGCAGCCTGAAAATTTGCTTTTGGATGCATACTGTAATCTCAAAGTTTCTGATTTCGGATTGAGTGCGGTGTCTCAGCAAGTCAGGGTAAATATAACAACACTTTTCTTCCACATTGTGGATAATTATGAAGTTTTTGATATCTGAAAGCTCAAGCTTTCTTGTATCTTCTGTATATGTGTAATTCCATCTATGTTTGCCTTTGATGACGTTTAGAACATTAAGAAATGTTTCTTATTCGAAGTTGAATTTTGTAGGATGATGGTCTCTTCCACACTCCCTGCGGAACACCAAATTACGTCGCACCTGAGGTTCGGAACCTTGTTTTCATTCAAGCATTTGTAACCCTTCAAAACCTCTGTTTTTTAATGGTTCACTTTTGTTTTCCTTCCTCTGTAGGTCCTTAACGATAGAGGTTATGATGGTGCTATGGCAGATCTCTGGTCATGTGGAGTCATACTCTTTGTCTTGCTCGCCGGGTACTTGCCGTTCGATGATTCTAATCTTATGAACCTATATAAGAAGGTTAGTCATTTCGTGTATGTTAAGTTACCGAATGTTAACCATTGCATGCTTTTAACTCTCGTTTTACAAATCTGCAGATTTCGGCAGCCGAATTCACTTGCCCCCCTTGGCTATCTTTCAGTGCAATGAAATTGATAACTCGAATCTTGGATCCGAACCCCATGACTGTAAGTCAACCTCGAAATGTAGATGATGCTTCAATTATGTTTAAGTGTTCACTGTTTAATCTTTGAGTTGCATAATTAATGTTAATGCATAACATCACTCTTTCTCGTGTTTCAGCGCATTACCATTCCGGAAATTTTGCAGGATGAATGGTTTAAGAAAGGTTATAAACCTCCCAAATTCGAGGAGAAAGACGGTGCCAACTTCGATGACGTCGAAGCTGTTTTTAAGGATTCCGAAGTAAGTGGACATTGTCTTTCCAAACGAATAACTGATGTATCGATACCGGACATGTGCTGTTATAGTTGGTGCTTATTTGCCTCTGTTTTCCGTAATAACTTATCATTTCGGTTCTGTAACAGGTGCACCATGTGATGGAAAAGAGAGAAGAAGAACAACCAATAACTATGAATGCTTTCGAGCTAATTTCTATGTCGAAAGGGTTAAACCTCGGGAATCTGTTCGATGCAGAACAGGTTTGCATTTATCATCAGCAGAAGGGATATGTGTGATTGTCCATAGCCATATCAAACAGTTTCTGATATTATTAGGCTATTAATACTTATAACTATTTGATATATGTGCCGATTGTCCGGAGAATGAGCCGAAACCGAATTGGCTGATATGGACTGTTAGTATTTATATTTTCTGCAGGGATTCAAGAGGGAAACGAGGTTTACGTCTAAATGTCCGGCTGATGAGATCATCCATAAGATTGAGGCCGCCGCAAAGCCTCTCGGCTTCGATGTCCACAAGAAAAACTACAAGGTAATAGAATCTTAAAAATGTTATAAAGGTAATTACTGAAATCTCTATACTGAATTTACTTAGTTTCTTACAATTTAACATCAGATGAGACTCGAGAACTCAAAGGCCGGAAGGAAAGGAAACCTTAATGTGGCGACGGAGGTAATGTACACCGAAATTTTCGATCCATTCTTGGCTTATATTTTGCAGTCATCGAACTTCTTATCATGTGAATCAGATATTTCAAATGGCACCTTCTTTACATATGGTCGAGTTGCGGAAATCAAAGGGGGACACACTCGAATTTCATAAGGTACCACTCGATTCTCTCGGTCGTCGCGTTCCCGGGTTAATACTGTGTTTTTCTGAGTTTGATGAACCAATGTAATGGCTTATAGAATAGCTAAGATGACCTATGGAATTCACTTGAGATAAAATCTATCATTTTACGATCAAGGATTGCACTTTTACCTACATATACTCTAATCTGCTTCCTCATGTTATCTGGACTTCGAGGTGAGCATCCATCTCGAAGATGTGTACAAGTCCGACACACACACACACATATATATATATATATAAACGAATTCTCGTATCCATGCCTGAATACATGTCTGGTGATCTTCAAGTCTCTTTAATCAATATAGTGACAGTTGATGTCTATTTTAAAGTTTCTCCTTCATTACACATATTCCATTTAAAACATTCATTTGATTTTGTTCTTCTGCAGTTCTATAAAAACCTTTCAGCATGTCTTGAAGACGTTGTCTGGAAAACTGAGGAGGACATGGAAGAAAGAAAATAAAACAAACCCAACTGTAATGACTTTGATCTTTTTGTTCATGCTTTTTGTTGTGCCCATTGTTTCCCAACTGTAACACAGCCATGTATCTTCCAATTGTGTTCTTTGATATTAGAGTTGGAAAGCTTGGGTAGGTGTGTACAATTCGATTTTAATCGAATCAGTTTATAAAATCGAATTAATTGGTTAATCGATCAGCCACCAAAATAGTTTTGGTTAGAGACTGATGAATGATTTTTGAATTTTTTTTGTCTATCGGTTAATTTCTAATAAATTTAAACTAATTTGAATAAATATTTTGGTGCAAGGATACCAAAATTTCTAATAAATTTACTGTTTTTCCCTAAATTACCGGATAAAAATGTTAGAAAACATTTCTAATGGCAGAAAAACTGATGCATGAAACAGTACAACGAAGTAACCCAAAAACAGTACAAGAATTTTTATTCAAAATGATTAGAGATTAAACTGAAAAAAAAAGGACTCACCATGCAAGCCTGCCAACTTCCTCAACAAGTCTACAACCAGCAATGGAACCACCTTTTATAATTTGTTGGAAAATATATGATGGATAAGCAAGACAGGGATACGAGTACCGTGCCATCATCCGAAATCAGTACATTGGTGCAAAACAGCTGCACGAAACCAGTGCATTGGTGCAAAACAGCCAAAAAAAAACTTCATTAACATGCTCAAACTACACCGGAAAGAGACCAAGTGTGCCACGAAGTATTGTGATCTTCATATGTCTGAAAACATCCGGATTTGAATGAAGAATTATGAAGTTTCAAGAATCCGGTACATAGTGATTTCTTGTTGTTTGAAGTATCGTCGATCTTCTTCGTCCACTAGCACAAGATTCAAATAGTATTTCACACTGAATTTGTTATTGATGTTACGATATGTTGGCGTCAGTTCATATGGACTTAAGAACAGTCTGATTGGAATTGATTCTCCTGCCAAAGCATTCGTAACAGCTCAAGTTAGATACACCTAGTGACCTTATATATAACTAGATAATAAAGCTGACCAAACCAAAATCCATCATAATGTTATAATGGCTTAGACAAGAGCTCATTAATTACGGACCTTATATCAGTCTAGTAATATTTTGAGGAGAAACATGAATAAGTATAACAATCAACTTCTTGATTCCATAAAGAACTTATAATCAAAACCTTAGTCTAAATGATAGTATTCCAACTGAAGGCGCGATCTTGACCAACAATTGTAGCATGTACCGTACAATACTTGGCCAGTATCGCTGCCCTATGTTACTTGGTTTTGGGAGCGACAGCTACGAGTATGTGTCTGACGTGATGTATATTCAATTGTTCCCAAGTCTATTCATTAATTTGGAAGGTACTTAGAGAGTACGTTCACATACTGAGGTTCAAATACGAGCGTACATGGAAACTTCAAGAAAAATAAAGTCGTAGCAACATATTCATCAATACTAACATCAAGGCATATACCAACACTAGGGAGGTATTCTATAAAAGCATGATTGTTAAAGTGCTGCGGGATAAAGAATACCTAAGATATCTGCCTAGAATTCTAAATCTGTGACATTAAAACATGAAGTTAGGAAATATGGCATGGGATAGAGAAGTTTGCTAAGGTACCTCTGACAGGGGCACCATCCATCAACTCGAATTTAGCAAGGGTCTCTGTCTCAACATATGTATTTGGTCCTGATCCAGTTGACTCTCGGCGCCTAATCTCAAGCTCCATATTTTTTAGTTTAATTCTAACAAGAAGAAAATATATCTTGCCAATAATGACATCCTTCAAATGATACCTGAATATAGTAGAAATCCAAACAAAAATACATCAATACACTTCCAACTTGGTGTAAAATAACTGGCATGGGATTATACACGAACTCCCATCGAAAATTGCATGTTGAGTGACATACTTGCTTTTACTGTATTCAAATTCAATGTGTAGACAATCCTCAATCCCAACTTCCATCTAGATGAACAATCAATAGAAATAAATAAAGTCAATTTGAGATTCCAAAACATCAATCTTATATAGAGTAGCTACATGTCATATCAACAATTAAATCACCAAGGAAACAATTGAAGTAACACTTTCAAGGTCACTCCAACAGCTTTAAAAAAAATAACTGACATATCAAGGAAACTTTGGGAATATCAGGCACTAGTATGAGACATCTTATAGCACCATGGAATTTGTAAAGGGACTAAATAATAATCTCTTTATGGTACGTTTGAGATGATGATTTTAAAATTTTGGATTTGGATTTCATTTTCTATAAAAATTGTAAGAAAGAAGTGCATATGTTATGAATAAATTAGTTTTCAATATAACAAAGAGTTAAAAAAAAAAACATGAATCCGTGCAATTCATAAGTTCCTTTATCTTCCGTTTGGAAACTTGAATTTCAAAATTTGGGTTTGGGTTTCATTTACATAAAAAAAAGCACATAAATTAGAGTACTTATTCTTTCATCCACTCACTTAGGAGGAATAAGTTAAATCTAAGTCGTGCCGAAGATTTGGTTTACACCCATTACAATCTCCATCTTTTATCAAAGAATTCTAGTTACTATGAGCTTTAATGAATATTTATGACTTTTTATGTCTTTTAAAATTTTAAATTTTATTTTATATTTAGCGTACCCTTGCCGTACCCATACCCTATAATTTTAGAAATTGTCATTTCTTGTCCCCATCCCTGTATCAGTGCAACATAGATTTTAATTTCAATCCAAGTTACCTAAACCAAATAAGTATCGGGAAATAAAAGAATATTTCCTTACCTTAATACTGTTATTGATTGATGGAGGTGGAGTATAATTGCGAACCTAATGCAGAAAATATTCAGAGAAAAAAGAAAGAGTATGAATAACAAATTTCAATCTGTCATGCTATGAGCTTAATCCAGGTAATTTAACTGAACAAGCAAACAAATACAAGATAGGAAAATGATAAAACTGATAAAAAGAAAATCCTTACACCTTGATGGTGGTGCATTAAGAAGATGAAATGACAAAGAAAACAACAATTGAGATCTCAGTATCCTTAGTGAACACCATATGGGTAAAAAATGTTATACCAAACAGCTAATCCTTTTCCAAAGGTCCTCGGGTCCAAGAATGAACACAAAAAAATATAACTTAATTAGCTTCATCACTTAAAGTTTTAATTTGATAAATTCTAAATTCATATCCTTGACAGCAATCTGATTAATCTATTCATATCCAATTAATCACATGCAAGGCATTCTGTTTTCAAAATTCATATCCTTGTTAACTTTCTGATTAATCTATTTACCTTCGACTAATCATATGTGAGGGAAAGGATGCTTAACAATTCTAATATATACTATTCAAGTCAGCAAAGTGTTTCTTTTGAGAAAGATTATCAAAGAGAATTCTGTGCAAATAACTTACAATCATTGATAGGATTAATTTCTTCAGAAAAATGATAACATGTCTGAGAAACCGAACTTATAGGACTCAAAGGATATGTACTATATAGTAAGAGATCAAGAGTCAAGGACAACCACTTCACAATTTGATTCCTTATTCTTTCCAAATCCAAGGATAATGTGAATTATACTTTTTCATATCTACTCTTAGTTGATTAGTTAAGACGAGTGAAGAGGGGTTCCAACAACAAGAGGTTACTTCCTAACAACCAATGTGTCACCTCATAATGATGACAGCAACACAATGGTAAGGTGGTTCCATCCTGACCAGGAGAAACAACCTCTTTTCGAAACCACGAGTCTGTGTATCTATGAATCTCCCTAGACCTAGTAATCTCAGGCTAGATGTTGAGCCACCTTAAGATCATTTAGAAAATATAAACACCCTCATTCTCTCTTCAAAAACTCATCCGCACCTTATACACTCCTTTTATATAGCAAAGTATTCTTATTAGAAACAGGTGATAGATAACATCATTCTCATGTAATCTGAGTCAAATCATAAATATTCAGAAGTTAAAAGGTGATAGATAAAAGAAGACAACATCACAATAAAGTAATAGTAATCCAAGTTGCATTTCAAGTAGAATAGAATAATGATTCCACCAAGTGCTTTTACAGAATACATTACCACAAAATCCTGGTACTCCACGATGTTCCTGACATAGTTTCTACTGACTGTCACTTTGAGTACATACCTATGCATTTGCAATAATATTTATATCAGTTTCGATTTTATATCCTTATTATAAAGGATCCTTGATCACTACATCATTGCAAACATTCAGTAATGATAATATTTCAACTTAATATGAATCAGGAACAACAAATTGAATTTCAAAAAGAAAGCTAGACACTAGTGAAAGCACATGTAAAAAGTTTAAATAACCAAACATATGCTTATGTCCTTCACACTCTGGCATGGCAGGGATACCACCAATAAGCTCTGTAACTTTGCAAAGAGCACATTGCTCACAAAGAGTAACTTCTAGAGGCATGAAAATTTATCACAAGAGTCAACTAATAAATTAAATGAATAACCTACCTAAGCCTAACATTCACTCCGTTATAAGACTCATGTGGCATCTCCACTGTGGAAAATTCAAACGGGTATGTTTTTCTTTCATATAATTCACCAGGAACATCAAGTTCACGTACTGCAAAAAAAGGTCAAAATCAGGTAAAACTTAGAAGCAAGTTAACATATACTATGAGATATTTAATGTCCCTTGCGATGCCACCCCAAACAGGCAAGGAAAAAGGAGAGATGGGGGAGGGATAAATTGCGTCGAAAATTAATAGTATAACTTGTAAGGATCCATAAAACTGTTAATTAAACTAAAGACTTCTTAAGCCTTTTTCTCTTATGGTCAAATACACTCACCAAGTGAGGTGAAATCATAGAAGTTGCCTCTATCAAAATACAGTTCTGCAAAGGAGAAAAAATGCCCTGGTCAAGGTATAGCGGCATCATATATAAGGAGATGACCTTTTCAAAATTACATATTATTTATTAATTTTGAAATAAATAACCACTACAGACAAATTTAAGTAGACAACAGAACCAACTATAGGAAAGGTAAAAACAACATAATAGTAAGTAGAACTAAAGATTGCC